AGGAGGAAAAGGGGCAGCGGTGCCGCTTCCGCTCCCGGGCGGCGGCGGGGCAGGACGGGCCCGCGGGCTGACAGCCGTGCCGCGGGTCGGCGGCGATCTGCTTTGTCCGTCCTACGCCGTTGCTCTCATCTGTCTTTCAGATCGGTTGTACTTTGCTACTTTACGAAGTAAACCGAAGAGTACCGTAAATACCCACTACTTCTGTACCGATGAGGAACTGGTCTATGAAAAGTAAGTGTTGTGATCTGGTGGTGTGTTTTGCGTACTTAAAGTGATCACCGGAGATTCTTCCCAATACACTTGAATGCTGTATGGAGTACTTTTGCCCCATTTAACTGCTTACACAAAACACGAGTATAAAGTTAGCCTAGATATATTTTTACATTAGCTGAAACTAGTTTAACAAGATTGTTATTTAAAAAACCCACAAAAACAGCTGCATGACCAGTTAAATGGCTTAAAGTGTGATTGAGCTAGGAGAAGGGTATCTGAGCTCTGTAAGATTTGTTTATAAGGTGGAGAAGATCTCTTAAGACGAATTACATCTCATTAAACGGTGTCTTAAATAGAAGACTTGCTCGGTATGAACAGATGAAACGATTGGTTTATGTGTATTTTCTTGTATAGAGTATGAAGTGATCACATTTTATACTGAATCATAAGAATGCACAGCTCAAATGTGCTTTTAAAGAACATCTGCAACTTTTTTTGTAAGCTGCAGAAGGTTTTGAGATGGCACTTCCTGTTGGCTTTTGTAGCTTTAGAACAGCAGAAAATATTTTCTGTGAAGTAAAAGCTTCATGTGTTTGGAAGACACAGACAGCATATAGTATCCACAGCTATAATCAATTTTACTTCTGACCTTCTATTAAAGGACATAAAAGACACTAAACAGATCAAGTAATCACTCATGCTCTGGTTAAAAAGTAGCTGCTTTGCACTGCGTTTCCCAGGTCAACTGTTTCATGTGCTATGATATATCTAGCCACTTGACAAAGGGTTTGCTGCAGCACAAGTGAAACAAAAAACGTGATCTTATTTTAAATGAGTTTTTTTTCCATGTGAGTTGAAGAACTTGTGAGCATCGTCGTTCTTCCTTCCCTTCTACAGTTACTTCAGTATTGCTTCTGTGAAGGTGTAAACCAATCATTCTTGCTTCCTAGCTTACTTTTTATGCACAGCTTACAGTTTTAGGGTTTCTTTTCTACATACATTTTTGAGTCTTCATTATCTTAAGCTATGTGCCTTCTACTTGAGTTCCCAATGATTTGTTCACAAAGTTGACTTATGTAATTAACTGCTTGGGTTGGGAGTTGGTTCTGTAATGATCACTAACTAATTTAGATTGGAAGGGACCTCAGGAGTACCCTAAGACAAGGCTGACCTAACATTAAAAGCAGAATTCAACTGGAGAAGGTCCTGAGCAATTTGTGTGATATGAATACATTCCACTTTCTTTAATGGAGGAAAAATTTGATCTTGTATCTCTTATCAGACTTCTGTGTTATACTTGACCTCAGGTATTTTGTTTCTCATTCTTAATATGTTTCTAGGAAGGGTGGAGGAACCTTACGTTGGGTTTGATCTTGGGAGTGGGAAGGGAGAACAGTTCTATACTTTGTTAGTTACAGATGATTGTACTAATCAAGGACTGCAACTGGGTTATTTTGTGTGTGGACAGTATCACATTAAAAAAAAAAAACAAACAAACCCAAGGTACTGAAATTTGAGGAGGGAAAAAAAAAAAAGTAATCTACTTTAACATGTGTAAAGAAAATTCAGTAAGTATACTCCTTAACCCAGTTACCTGTTAACTACATACCAGGGTGTAACTTGATACTAGATATAATTACAAGATAATGGAAGGAAGCAAAGTTTCCTTTATCTCCTAGGGCACATCTAAATATTCTGGACATATAACTCATGGTGTATTTTCTGAAATGATAGTTCCTAGTTTATTTGGCCCCTTTTAAAGGTATTATCCTATATCTGATACCATAATAGTACTCTCCCTTTTGCGCCCTCAAAATACTGAAACGTAATACGGGGTAGAAATTAAATGACACTTAACCAGGTGGTACAAGTGAATTTTGTGTAATAGCTTAACTCCTTTACCTAACAGTGCTAAACTTCCCCTAATATCTGTATTGCAGCACTCATCACTATCAGTGTATGCAGTATTTGGTAGTAAAACCATGCCTGATTTTATTTTTATGTTTTTCCTCTTTTTCATCTCATCTCTAAGGAAGTTTATATTGTCTCAGGGAAGTAGTAGCAGGTTAGGGTTACCTTTTTTTTTAAGTAATCCTTCTGAAATTGGAAAGCTAGAGGCGAAATGAGGAATAGAATGCAAATCTCTTGGTTCTTGGAGAAATACTGATTTTACTGTAGTTTCCCTTTTCCTTATGCTCATCAGTGGGCTTGACATCAGTCTTACGTTTCACAGGCTGCACAGTGAAGTGAGGGGCCTGACATCAGGGGTTGTCTGTAAGTAGTAGTGGAGTGTAACTTTCATACACCAGATTGGATCTTCTGCTAATTTTCTCAGAAATGCAGCCTTCTTCCTGAGAAAGTGATTAGAAGTATCTGTTACACGATAACAAAATACACATTTGGAAGTGAGTTTTGAAGTGCTATAGCTCAGAAGAGTGCTTTCCAGAGTCTTCATTCAAAATGGCCTGCCTATGCTGTTCTTGCCGATTAGAATTTCATGGCCACTTCTGCTTTGTAATCAAATGAGTTGTCAGACTGTTACAAGGAGGAAGATAGGAGATGTCTACTCACACACAAACTCCTCAGCACCTGTGAGGTATGTAAGTTGTTTTTTTTTTTTTAATCAACTATTTATTGACTTGATTTGTTTAGATGTGTCATTCTAGAGACAAGACAAAGATCTTTGCTGTGCATGGAAGTAAACTGCTTTTCTTTGGGCTGTTATTCTGTTACCTTTAGTGATAACTCTAAGTATGAAGTGTTACAGAAATTTAGCTGATGTTATTTAGGTGTCAGTTTGCTTTCACTGAAGCAATATATGATCTGAAAACCTCATGAATATGTATGTTTGGGGTTATCAAATTACAGAGAGCATGTTATTGGATCACATAGTGCTTAAAATCTCACTGCCTCGCTTACCTCTTTTTCCCTATTCTTGAAGAGATATAAAGAAGTAATAGTGTACATTAATATTATACCCCATTTATTAAACCAAACAGCTGTAGTGCTGGATCTAATGGTACTGGAAGTTTTGGTCTAATAAATGCTGACTTGCCTTTGCAGCTTGTCACATGATTTATCACTAAATTGTACACAAAGTGCGGTTATGTAATCTTGAGTACTTTAGCCTTCAGTTTTCACTTGAAGTTGTCAACTGCTCTAATGAATTCATAATGCTGTCTTCACTTATTTAAACATTCACACTTTTAAAAATAATAAAAATAGGCTTAAATGCTTTTAAGGACATCTCAAATACTAGCTGACTAGGAACTCGCTACTAGAACTGTCACTATTGTAGTTAAATGTGACACAATTAAACCTTGAACCTATTATGCTAGGGAGACGGTATGTAGGAACAAGAAACCTGAATGAATTTACCCAATTCTGAATTCCATTTTTTGGTTGTTCTGTTTCTGTAAGATTTTGTCAGTCCCCTAAAACTCTCTGAGGTCTCTCCTGAGAAAATCTGCACTACTGCTTATAAGGGAATACAGTCTTTCAGGGTAGTGTAGTGCAGGTAACACTTACTTCAGGAAGATGAAGTTAATGAGAAATAATCCAGCTTGATGAAGACTCTCATTTGACAAATAGAAAAACCTTGCCTTGGCAAGACCTCTAATAGTGAGTTAGGCACTAAAGAAGCTTTTTATTCTCTAAGAATAGTGTCCTTTATGTTTCACCTTTCTGTAAACGGATCTGGGTTGAGAATACTACACTTGATTGATTAACTTGGCTTTCACATACTTTTATCAAAGCAACTTTTTATGTGTTTTTTATTGTTGAGTAGTTTTCACAAACAAAATTAAAATTTAGATAATGAGAAATAGGACTCTTACTGATAAATTACAGTGTCAGCTTTCATAAATCGTAATGTCTTTATTTGTTCTGACTCTGAGTCTCTTGTATAAGCAGCTTTTGCAGATCTGTTCACTGACATCTTGTGAGCACCTGTAAAAGTAATTAATATATTCTCTATCTCCTATGTTTTACACTAAAACTTTCTTTCAAACCATGGTATGTTACTTGCTCGTTTCACAGCAGTCTTAAAGTTAGCTGCTACTTTGAGTTCAAGCAGCAGTAGAATAAGACTTTCAAATGCTTAGCTACAATAATAAGTGAGTACTGTTTGGATTTTGACTTGTAGGGCTTGTTTCACCGCATCTGTACGCACAAAGAAGCAGCTTTTCTTTCCTGTGAGAAGAATAAGAGTTAACTTATTTATTTTTACTTTGTCTAAATGTATCTTTTCTGTGGCTATCCAGTAATAGTCCTTGCATAGGAAACCTGAACTACTACATCATTCTGTGGCTTATATTATTTGAAGGGAAAAAGAAAACTTAGCCTAGTTACAACAAACAAAGCTGTTCCACACAGAGAACAGGGAGTTCCTTGTTCACTTTAGTAGCTTTTGAAGACTTGAACTTGACTGTCAGATAACCAAGATAACTTAGTAAGCTAAAATTCACACACACACACACAACACACAAAAAATGGAAAATTCCCAACTTCTAACTTCTGCCAATATGAATGAAAACACAGAGCAGAAAAACTTCATATACTAATACCAGCTTTTGTATGTCTGATTCTTATAGATGAGTATTAAGAATAGTATTGCAGCTTTATTTTGTTTTCCATCTTAAAATGAGAGATTTAAAATTTACTGCAGACATGAAAATCAGATGATCTATGAACTGGGAGTGTCAGTTTTTCCTTCAGACACGAACTACTGACATAATTTTACATTTGACACTCGTAAAGTGCTATCACTTAATACCTGTGGTGTTCTCTCCAGTCCAACAGTTTCATAAATTTTATACCTATACATTGCTTTACCATATCTGTCTTCACTTCTTTGTATGCAAAAGATAAAAGCAATTGCCAACAGTATTGAGGAATTTTTTTTTTTGTTTGCAGTAAAAGGGTACCAGGATAAAACAGATGTTTTCTATGCTCCAGTTTTATATTCATCAGGAGTGTAGCTCGGTATAGGAAATCTGTTATGAGAAATTTAGCCTCTG